CTACCCAATACTGATAATGCTAACCTAAATTGAATTACTTCCAATGGCAATTAAACAAATTTTGGTCCAAAATGTGATTTCCCTATATAAACTATAGTAAAGTTTACCCCCTCCCCAGGGGGAAACGTGAGACCCCAGGGTCAAGAAATTCACAGTTTTAGTAAAGCACCTTAAGACCCTTCTATCTATGAAGAGTATTTGATTCTACCATACCTGGATCTTGAGAAGAAGATTTTTGAAATTTTAGTCAATTTTACCCTTTTTGGCCCCGCCCCTCAGGCCCCTGGGGGCTGGGGGACCATATAATTTACAATTTTAGTTGACCTTTGGCCATGGAAGGTTTCTGCAAAATTTCGTTGAATTTGGTTTAGGGGTTTTGGAGAAGAAGTCGAAAATGTAAATTGTTTACGGACGCACGACGGACAAAAGGCGATCACAATAGGTCACTTGAGACTTTGTCTCAGGTGACCTAAAAATCTTTATAATTGAATAAGATTTTTCTCTATCTAGCATTTTTACATATCATTTATACCTTAATATAATACAGTATAACTGTAAGACTTTTAATTTCAGAAGAAGAAAGCTAAAAGTCTGGGTGCAGAGGGCACTGACCTTGGGCTGGTCGTCTGTTGGCCACGGCGGTTCTCTCTCATCCTTGACTGGCGTCAACGTGGTGGGGGTGATAGGTTTACTGTAAGGCAAAGAAATTCAACAAATTACACAGCAGTTCAAAGCTAAATCTAAATCAATAGTTTAACCAAGTTATGAATAATGAACAAGAGCAAAAGCATGTATTGCTTACTTGTTTTTCAGCGATTCTGGTTCATGAAAAATACATAAAAGTAAGCGTTAATATTTGGATTCTGCTACAATGAGATTGTGTAACCTGTATTGAAAGTAGATAAAAAGTAGCATGTCAGTTTAACTCAGCAAGGTGCCCAAATATGTCTGTCAATCCGAGTGCAGTGGTCCATATTTGAATTGGCCAAAATGATATATATACTTGGTCTGGGCCATGAGAAAATCATTTGTACAAATTTGGCTAGAACGGTCCAAGTGTCTCTGTCTCTACTTCCCCCTATTGGACCCTGCCCTCTGTCCAAGGTGGGCCCGTCCTTCATTCACATAAAATTAATTTTCTCAATTACCAGTAATAATGATTACGACCAAATTAAATCTAAATCTATCAATCCAAAGAAGTAGTCATTTAAAAGATTTCAGTTTGTATTTTCCTGGTTTGGCTCCCCATTCACCCTCCATTTGTTAAACATGAATTCTTTTGACCCAGTGATGCTCCATGCCAAATAAGGTTAAAATCCCTTCACTAGCACTCAAAGTGTAGTCTGACATAGATTTATCCCCACTTCACCATTGGGCATGCCCCTCTACCCTGTGTCCTACAAGCTTATTTTCCCTTAACTGAGGATAGCAATATACAAACTGTTTAAGTTCAGAACAATAACCTAAAATCATAGCATACCCTTCAGCCAGTTAGCAGGGCTTTGTGCTAGCAGAGTGTATACTCACCTGGAGTTTTGGGGTCCCTCTGGTGAGGTTTTCACTGTAATACAGGGAGTTGGGTCTGAGCGGGGAGGAGGTGGAGGTGGAGGTGACTCCATCCTTGACCTTGTTTTGTTAGCCCTTTGTTCCTCCTGTTGCTTCTTCTGTAGCTCACGTTGCTTCTGTTGTTCTTTAAAATGATGTTCTCGCTGCTGCTGTTGTTTTAACTGCTCCATTTTGGCCTCCATGTGTCTCCTCTTAACAGTTGTGTACCCTGTCTCGTTGTGGAAATTGGTAACCGCTGTCCGCAGGAACTTATTGGCGATGAGTTTATCTGGTGAGGAGTCCATCTCATTGCAGGATGGACAGCAATGGTTATCGTCCTCTAACAGTGCATCACGGATACCTGGTAAAGAGGTTACATCGCAACTATCAAAATCTAAATTTTTGTAGATACAAAATGTTATCTTCGATTGGCACGTGTGAACTTGAGCAGCTGGTTGAGTAGCATGTGCTTCTATAAAACAGCTATACCATCTGAAGTATTGATGCTATAGAATCATATGTTGGGCATATTAGTGGCAATCATATACAAGTAAATTCCTTTTTCCCTGTAGAACAACACATTCTGTACCACATATATACAGCAATATGGTTAGTTTACATGTAGTTATGGCTGAAAACCTAAAAGGTTTCAACTGACAACCTGGGTCATAACAACAATTTAAAACTAATTCTGACTCATAACCCCCGAAGACACATTTGAACTCTTCCAGTTCAAAGGTTGGAATAGTCCATTATGAAATAGAGATCGGAAATGTTACATATCTTGTTCAATAAGAAGTTACGCTTTATACTTAAAAAGGTATGAAAGGTTCCTAATGGTGCCTCTTAATTAAAGGTCATGTTTCTTTTTTCTAAAATTTCGAGTTATCAAAAGAACTGCAAAATCTATTTAAAACTTTTCTGAGACAGAACTTACATTCATCACAGTAACTGTTACCGCAGCAAGGAATCACAACCGCTTCCTTCAGGAGGTCGTGACACAGTGGACAGATGAGCTCGTTTGGTACGGGGGATTCCTCCTGTTTCTCTACCGATGGCAAGGGCATGAACGGCGGCCTCTCCTTCTTGCCCTTCTGGAATGCCTCTCTGTTAAAAATAAGACATGGAGAGGTCAAAACACAAAGGAGATGTTTGGACCAGTATTAGAGGGAATGTACGCCAAGGTTGGCTTAGAACATCTATTTAAATTTTTTTCTTCTGTTGAAAACTTTATATGTTGGAAATAATTTGAATGTCTGGGCCTGGTTGCTCAAAGGTAGATAACTGGCTCAAAAAGTTAAAGCAGATTCAAAATTATCGAATTTCTTCCTCTTTTTGTTGTTGTTGTTAATTAATTGTCTTTAAATGACCATTTTGAGTACCTGTACAAAATGTATGACTTTCTTTTATTGTTGAAAATAAAGTTCTCTGTTATAAAGTTGTTAATCTAATAAGGAATTAGATAACGGTATCCTGTGATACCATATTGTTCCTTCAATTCTGTCCTAGGATAGACTATGACATACTTGTCAATGATGGGGACAGCGTACTGTCCTGTCGACATCAGGAGAGCTCCGGGTGAATGTTTGTCATTACAGGGCGTAAGAAAACTTGTCGGGATACCCGTGGAGCGTTTGATTCGACTTGTGTTGACTACTTCCTGCGGTTTGGCTGTAGGATCCTCTGGGTCAACTTCCTATCAACAGAACACAGGAATTAGTCTCTCAGTCCAGAAAATGTGGGTTATTTAAAAAAACAAAATCTACATCATCTGAATGTAAATAACAACAAAGGCTAAAGTCATTACAACAGATAATAATATTTTATATAAAATAAATTTGTATTCAGGATAGTAATAATGAAACCACTTAATTATAATGTATATTACTCACTGAAACTGAAAGGGACTAGGACCAGGTCATGTTTTCGAGCCCAATTCAATAAATCAAACATATGTCCTGAATGTAACAAGTCTATTTTAAGTAACATGTATTATTACTTTGTCACACATGATTTCATTCTTTAAATCAGTCCAACAGTGTAATCCTAACCGATCAACTCATAGTGAGGACATATTGTGTGACAGTCGCATTTTTGCAAATACCAATCAATCTCTGACGAAAATAAGAAACAAACCCTGTTTGAATTCCAATCTGCATACAGTAGGTATTTACAGTACAATTCTTTTCCAAACTTTATTATAGAGAATAGTTCCAAACTTTCTATTTTTTTTTATTTTTTTTGAAGAAATGTGAAAATTATGTGCCGATACATTACAGAATGGGACAAAGTCCCAATGAATTAAGAGCTCCTGTTCAACGCTACAAGGATCCTTTGAAACTTACTGGTTTATTTGGACAGTTGTGGATGTAGTGGCCAGGCTTGCCGCACTTGAAGCAGAGGTAGGAAGTAGAGGGCTTTCCTGCAGGGTACTTGGACTTCATGTAGCTGAGCAAACAGAAACATCAATTATAACAAGAGGCCCATGGGCCTTAACGGTCACCTGATATATTTATACAGAGAGTTGATTTTGTTTTTAACATGAACAGAAATATTATTCAAAGTGACAAAAAACAATAAAACCACCTTACTCAATATCTAGCATACAGATTTCAGACTAAAAAGGA